TAACTTGAATCTTAATTCATTTACAACCGGTCTTTGATTTATCCGAAGGAAAGGTTAAAGAAAGGAAAAACCTAAAAGGGAGAGATCTAAGGTTCGGGGGTTGGTTAAATTTAGGGAAGGTATTAGCACCCTAAACTTCCGTAGTACTCTACGGGAACCTTTTGTTTATTTTTTTATTTGTTTCATTTTTTGCTTTAAGGGTATGTACAAAGGATTAAGGGTTTAAAAGACCTAAGGGGTTAATTCTAAGTTTACTCGGCAAGACGTCGCATCTTGTGCCTACGTATCCTTACGGGAATGGAATCAGAGTAATCGTAGTTCCCCTCAAAAGGGAGGTTAGAAACGTCTTGACTGTGACCAAGGTTTCAATGGGGAATAAACGTATCTTAGGGACACGCTTACGCGGAGTGTAGAAACTCCAATATCTACGTTGTAAATTGTTATGTGAATTAGGGTTAGGTTAGGGATTCTGCGGCGGGAAACCCTAAAATGAGCGCGACGGCTCTTTGACCTAATGCTAGGGGTAAAATTGTAATTTGGCCTGCGGCGAGGCATTTGTGAAAATTAGGGTTTGTAGTTTGTAGTTTTGAGGATTTGAAATTGAATGTGTGAAGTTTTACGGACTATTGGCGCGGCGGCCAAACAGTTAGACCTAACCTTCGGATGTGTGCAATGTGACAGAAATAATGGTAAACGCGTGAGATAATTGAATCATGCAAACAGAGAGATAATGTCATAATTTAAACCATGCAAGCAGAAATTTAAAGGCAGAATTTAAAGAGCGATTGTTAAGTTCGTGAGGTTACATGAGAGGAGCAGATACAATATGATAATGAAATTTGAATTGAACAATAATAAAATAAAATAAATAACGGTTCTAGTTATTATTTTAAAAAAAAAAGATTTTAGTTATTATTTTAAATTTATCTAAAAAAAAGTTTTTCTTAAAAATAATAGGTTTTCATATTAATTTGGAAAAGATGTTAATGTTATTTATTTTAAAAAACAGATTTTTATATTATAACAAGTTTTAATAAATTAATGATAACAATAATAATAATAATGGTAATAATAATAATAATAATAATGATAATAATAATAATAATAAATAATGATAATAATAATACTACTACTACTACTACTACTACTAATAATAATAATAAAGCAATAATGAATTCTAAATGTGTCAAATAACCCAACAATGTTGCTAACGCAGAAATGCGCTCATCGCAGCCAGATCTAAATCGGACGAAACAAAATTTATCGCAAAGAAAAAAAATTAAGCAAAAAACAGTATTATTGCTCACACAAAAATGCGATCATCGCAACCAGATCGAACTAACACAAATGTCACGCGTCATGCACACAAATGTGCAAACATCGTATCGACATAATTCGATCAAAAATTAATCTTATATATATATATATATATATATAAACTCTAACAATTTAAAAATTATATATATAAACGTAACAGTAATAGATGAAGAAAAAGAAATAACGGTAATAGATGAAGAAAAAGAAATAACGGTAAAAGATGAAGAAAAAGAAACAACAGTAATAGATGAAGGAAAAGAAATAACAGTAATAGATGAAGGAAAAGAAATAACAGTAATAGATGAAGAAATAGAAATAACGGTAAACGGCACTCACTCCTCTTAGGTTTTTTTTTCATTCTCCCCCTTTTTCAACAAAGCAACACATGTATATATAGGGAACAAATTAGGGTTAACACCAAATTGTCAATAATGTCCCTAAAGCCCATTTTAAAGCCCAAACTAAATAATTAGTTAAAAAAAATAAAATTTAAATAATTTAAAATAAAAACTAATAATCCTATTGATTCCTAAAATCAAAAATATTATAAAAAGAACAAAATTTTTTTCAATATTTTTTATTTTATGATTTTTTGGATATTTTTATGAATAATTTAGAAAAAAGTGAAAAAAATAATATTTTAAAAAATGATTTAATTAAAATACGAAAATAATAATTAAATAATAATAAAAAACTATTTTTGTTATTTTTTAATGAAAGATAGAAAAATTTAGAGTAAAAATAATAAAAAACAAAAAAAGTGACAAAGGTGAGATTCGAACTCTCAACCTCTCACACTCACAACTCCTTACCCATGTCCTCTTGCCAATTATGTCATTTTTACTTTTTAGGAAAAAATGCATGCCATATGATATTTACCTGCAAAAAGTCAAACGACTACACAAATTTGTTAGTAATTGATTAAATGCAATAAAAATGCAATGAAATGCGACGACAAATCTTAGGGCAAAATTTGGGGTATTACACTTCCATCTTATGGCGATAAATAAGATTGGGAAATGCTCTTTCCAGTTTTATGGGTGCTCCCGCACCACCGTGAAAAGTTCATAATGTCCTTAGTGTCCGGAAATACATCTCTAAACGCATATTTTTTAGCCATTTCTCAGGTCAAATTAAAGAGACCCCTTTTACGTTAAATTTTAATCCAAAGATGCATCTCTATATGTGTAAAAAATGTGTCCGAAGATGCATCTTATTAAACACCATTTATTTTAAAATGTGTTTATATTCTTTTCATATCCCTGCCAGACTTTTCCCTATTCCTCCTACATTTTCTCAAATATTCTCAAAAAACTCATTTAAACTCTGCAACGATTTTACTTCTCATCCATTCATTCAAGCTTATATTATTGGTGTTATTTCTCTTCTTTTCCAACATATTAAACATTCAATTTTCTACTTCTCATCAAATTGATTTGGTAAGTTTTAAGAGAATCGATTTACTTTTTTTAGTAAGTTGTTTATGATACATTATATGTTTTAGGTACATTAGGTAGTATTATAAACGAAATCAGTAGGCTATAACAGCGTTGAGGTTTTTTTGGAATTGTTATAGTAGAAAATTAGGTGTTACCATGGGAGACCATCGCATGTTGGTCTGGAGATGCATTTTCGGATTTGCTCTGAATTATTTTTGGAGATGCATCTCCAGATTGGACTCAGGTAGAAAATTGGGTGATTTTGTGAATTTTGCCAAACATGCTATTTATATGTCTTTGTTTCTAACACGTGTGCAATTCCTGAAGACAACACTGGTCGGATTAGACTCGGGCGTGTGCCCCAAATCACGTTGGTACGACGTAAGAGAGTCATAGTGAGGTCCGCAAGGCCACAAGTTGTTGATAACTCGTTTGATGGTGGATCTACTTCGCAACCCCGAGGTTTCACCCGTCTTATTCTCATAGTCGACTCTCTCAGGCATCTGAGACATATGATGCAGCAGAATTAGAGGTTCCTAGGACCCCTGTTGACCTTGAAGCCTAGGAGGAAGATGATCTGAATGCCCTATTAAAGTTATCCAAGAGGGCCACTTGGAACCTCTTTACTTAATAATTATGTAGAGCATGCTGCTAGGCATGTCTAACATGTATGCATCTCCATATAACCGTCACAAGGGCCACTTCTCTCGTATCACAGGGTTTGAAGTTGTGTCGGATTACACAGAGAACTGATCTCATGCAATAGCTTTTGTTCTGTAGAGGGGAGAATGGTGTGATCGAGCCATTTAGAGTCTCTCTTGACCGTATGGTATCATATGATATTTGTTTCTGCCCATACGAAGGTCACTTGGCTAGGATGTTAACCGTCACAAAGGCCACTAGTATCACAGGGTTTGAAGTTGTGCCAGATTACACAAAAAACTGACCTCATGCAATAGCTTTTGTTAAGGGAGAATGGTGTGATCGAGCCATTTAGAGTCTCTCCTGACCGTATGATACAATATGACGTTTGTTTCTACCTATACAAAACAGCTTAGCTACTTCCATATTTAACTGAGACCGAGGGTTAGACAACCCAATAACTTATATTGGGGTGTATTGTTTCATTTTAATGTATACATTTTTTCTTTCCTTTAACTTTAATATAAAATCATAAATTGATCTCACAAAAATTAAATATTTGAATATTTATGCTATTTTGACATGATTCAAGGACTCCAAAGATGCATGTTCAAAATAATTCTCCATGTGCATTTACTACGTTCTAAAAAACTGATTTCAAGAACATTTCAAAAATGCATCTCCTAATACACCAAATACCATACGAAGATGCATTTTCATATCATTTTTGTATCACTTTTTTTTTTTCAAAATAAGATAAATTTCATAATTGTGCATTTTAATTGTGTCCAAAGATGAGGAATTACAAGAGTATGATATCTTTATATGAGGGTCTAATGGGCAATTACCATAAGATATGATATCCTTATATGAGGGTCTAATGAGCAATTACCATAAAATTTACCTGATCAATTCTCACCCTCTTTTCTATATTAGACAACCAAAGCTTTTTTAAGCCCATTTAGTTTTAAAGCTCACTTACGTATTTCAAAACTCAAATTGATGATAAAAAAAGTGAAGATTCAATGCCTCGATGAAAGTAACAAACTCTAAATCTACTCAAATTAAATATTTTGAAGAAGAGTCTTGCTAACCAGTGGCCTCAGGGCACTATTTAAACATTCCATATTAAGAAATTATTCTTTAAAAAATTCAAACACTTCAATTTCCAATGCACATGATTACACATTATTACACATACTTTTATTAGAGAGTGAATTTGTATAACATAGAAAAGATAGCAAAGATATAAGACCAAAACAAATAGTTTTAAAAGATAAATAACTAAAATAAATTGAGCAAAAGATAAAAGACCAAACACATTTAAGCCAACAATATCCCAAGACTTAACGAGGCCCTCATTCCAGTAGCCACATGATATGTAGCTTACTTGGCGAGAGAAAGGATAAAAGATTATAGAAAAAATAACCCAAGCTAGATTATTCAGATGCAACCAACAGTTTGCACCGAAACAAAACGACCAAAATTTCCATCCTGTATGCATAATGTGCATTAACCTAAATCCGGAAAAAAGTAAAAAACCAAAAATATTTAGTTCAGAAAACCAGACAATAAAAATTATCGCAAACATATAAATGGACTTCACTGTGAAACCCCCAGCCACTTAGAGAAGTTGTCAAACTCGGTATAATCAGAATCTGAGACCATGGTGTTGTACCAAGCTTTTCCTGCAGCTTTGATAGCAGAAGCTTCCTCCTGATAGAGAGAAAAGAACACAATGGAAAATAACATTAGTTTTAAAAAATATTAACTCATCTCACAAAAAAAAACTCCATTATGAAGTGTGCAGCAAATTGTATGCAATCAGAAAGAAACAGATAACAAACGGAATGGGTTAAGCCAAGACTCAAGGGCAAAAATTAAAGATAAAATCAAGTACATTAAATTAATTACTTCAATCTGCGTTCATCAAATCCACTTGCATCTGAGACATATTGTAACTTTAACTCACAATCATTAAATGCACTCCATGATAAAAAAAATGTATATCATTTGTTAATAATAAGTAGACAAGGAAGAAGATGCCTCTAACATAGAGCAGAATATGGAAGGAGCACACAAGTCTCAAACAGATATACATTAATCATTCAACAAGGTATTAACTATGTAATTTGCAAACACATAAATAGCATATTTTGAACAATTAATTATATATTAAAGGATTGCTACTCATTAGGCTATGTTTGGATTGATGGAACATAACGGAAAGTAGCATAAAATAAAATAGTGGAATGGAGTGGAGCATAATGGAATATAGATGATTTCATTCCCATTGGATGGAATGCACCCCAAATCGGATGGAACAAAAAAATGGAGGATTTGATGGAATAATTTTTATCATGTTTCATTCCACTCCAACAATTATTTGCAAATCCAAACATCGGAATCTCAATATTTAGTTGCTTACCACTCTATTCCATCTCATACCACCAATCCAAACATACCCTTAGAACATCACAATTCAAATCAAAGTGCAAAAAACTACACAATAACTTGTTATTTCACAACATCTACTGAGAACAAACCAAACCAACATTAAACACTAACATGGAAATACAACCTCATAGATGCACAAAGATAAACATTAAACATCAAAAGCATAAGCTATGCAAGCATGTCAAGTAATATATACAACAAATTATACATCTCAGGCATTATTAGTATTTAAACAATATGCAAAAAACTGAGCACAATAATAATAATATCAAGATCACCTTAGAAACAGTCTTCCTCTTCTTATCAAGCTTCTCTGCCTTAGCCTTAACACGCTGAGCCTCAGCAAGCAAAGCCGCTCTCTTTGCTGTCTTAGCATAAGGATTAAGTCTAAGCATAACATTAAGATTCTTAAGAGGATTCTTCTTAAGAGTTGCACGCTTAACTTCCTTCTTAATAGGTCTCACAACAGATTGAACTTCATCGGAATTAATGATTCTAGTCAAATCAGAGTTCGTCATCTTTGCCCTAGGTAGAACATACCCTTTCTTCTTCTCAGAAGCCTTGTCAAATGACCCGTAAATCGAATCCAATTTCTCAAATGCAGATTTGGTCCAAATCACAAACCTACCCAAATGTCCACCAGGTGCAAGCTTCAACAGATTCAATCTCTCCACATTGGTTATCTCAACGCCAGGGATGTTCCTGAAAGCTTTCACAGCTTTAGCTCCTTCGGTGCTGTAGACAATGAGTGGACCCTTACGAGAGATATAGCGACGGTTACGCATTTTTCCCTTGCCAGGACGAATGCCATGGCTGTCTTTTGCTTTCTCAGCATCAGGAAAAGCTCCGATCTTCTTCAGAACTTTGATAGCTTCCTTTGTTTTCTCCACTCCTTCAGCAGAATCACCAACAACGAGAGGAAACTCGGGAACAGTCTCGATCCTGTGACCACGAGCGAGAACGAGGGAGGGAACTGCAGAGGCTGCAATGGCGGAAACAACTGCGTAACGCTTCTGGTTAACGTTGATCTTACGGTGCCAGCGGCGCCAGATCCTGGTTGGTGCAAACATCCTACCACCACGACACATGTTTCCGAATGCTGCCTGACCGGCACGGTGAGTTCCACCACCTGCAACACGAGGGATACGGGAAACAGCACGACCAGTTCCCCATGATTCAGCGGAGGTTTGGTGACCGGCACGACGACTGACAGCGTAGGGCTGACGGCTGTTATTGGAGATGTTGGAGTGGACAAAATTTACGATGTCAGGACGAATTGAAGCACGCATGACATCGGGAATGGGGAGGGTTGTTGCTGTATCGGTGGCCATATCTCCTTCTAGGGCTTGCACGGTGACAAGTGGACGTGCTGCGGCGGTGGCCATGGCGGCGAGGATGAAACTCTAATTAGGGTTTTTGGAGTACTACTACTATGAAAAAGGAGAAAAGGAGTTAATTCTGCGTATTGGTATGAATATTATTGTGTTTGGGCTTCAATTTAAAAACCCTAAGCCCGTATTCATTTGGGTATTTTGTTTATTTGGCCCTGCAAAATTCAATTCAATTATTTTAGAAAATTTCATAATTCATCTCTTGATACTCTTAAGCATTTAAAGAAATTTCTTTTATACTTCTTGTTTTTGTAAATACATATTTAGACGCACTTTTTTTTTTCTTTATGCTGGATGATTCCAGAGATGCATCTACAGAAAAAGTTTCGGAGATGCATCTCAGAAATCTTATCAGAACAGATTTAAAAAAAAATCAAGTTTTATTGATCGCGGATAGAAATTAATTGTTGCAGACGAATATAAATGACATACATCCGTAAATAAAATAATATGATATGTGATAATCATCATTAAAAAATAGTACATCGATGTCATCAAAATATAGTACATCAAAAAAATATCGCAGTCACTACTGTGTGTGCCTGACAACATCTGCATCCCCTCATCCGCATATGCCTCGTCTGCATCTCCCGCCTCCTCGACCACCCGGTCTGCTCCCTCGGTCGTCGATCCCACCCGTTTTGGAGCGATTCCTGCGGTACATGAGTGCCTCTACTGCCACCGCAATCATGTCATCCAATACACGTCTGTGGTTAGACCCCTCAGGGAAGAAACCAGCGGCAATGTCTGCCCGCCTCATCTCCACTATCTGACGACAACGAGGCAGGACAACCTGAGTGTGGTCCAACTGAGATTGATGCTCCTTTAAAATCTCCTAATGAGCTGGTATGGGCGGTGATCCTTCGGTAGTGGGCACCATGTAGGGGTGTGAGACGGTGAAGAACCACATGATGTAGCCATCAACGCAGCTCCAATCTGTCAGCGCTCTGGTCACCTGAGCCTCGTCAGGTACCATGTGTCTCTAGTAGTCGGCAGAGATCTTTTCTATCTGCAAATGGGTCAAGCCGAGAGATGCGGAGAGAGCTGGGTGTCTGGGAATGGTCTTAGTGTAGCCGAACTGCCGCATGACGCGCTCGGGAAAATATGGAACAGTGATGTTCGAACTATATGCCAACCATCCTGAGAATATGGAGATGTCGTAAAATGGGCGCGTCACGTGGTGATCAGCATAGACGTCGTACCGGATGTCCTCAACAGGCAGGCGATCAAGATACACTTTGTAAGGGTCGACCGTCTGGCTCCCCCTGAGCGGAGAAAGGCACGGGCACACGACATCTGCTATGTGTAATCAGGCACACTCCCCCGCCCGACGATCATGGGAAAGTGCTGGAATATCCAAGCCTGAAATGAAAATAAAAAACATCAGGATCAAGCATTATCTCGAATATAGAATGAAAAGATATGAAAAAAAGTCGAAAGATATAAGATTGTTACCACAAGTAGTGCCCCGCTCCCTGCCACGGTCCTGGTCTTCCATATGCATCCCTCTCACAGCCTCGAATACGTGTAAGCCAGGTAGCCGCCCCCTAGTTGTATTCATGGATCCGTGTGGAATCCAAAAAGTACATCAGGTAAGCGACATTTGTATATGTGGAGGAAGCATCCGCAAACATTTGAGTGCCAACTAAAAATAGAAAATAACATGTCAGCACACGCTACCTGTGTATCTTAATCTCAGTTGGATCACCATCTTCCTAGCGTACAGTAACGAGCACCTCACCAAATCTGCGGGTGAGAAAGGAGAATCTGACATGAGCCACTCTGGTTTTATCCACATCCTCCATCGCATCCAGTAGATCAGCCTCAAGCTCCTTGGCTAACATCTCTCTCGTATCCTCCTTTATCATCCTACTGTGGCAGAGGAGGGTACCCCTGATCGGTATATGTAACAGACAAGAGATGTCGTCCAGTGTGATCGTGAGCTCGTCGTACGGTAGATGGAGGGATGACGTCTCAAGGTGCCATCATTCTGCAAAGCCCGTCAAAATTCCGTTGTGGATCACGTTGTAAACGATCTCATAAAGGTCCTTCAAACTAGAGGCGACAATGACATCTTAGAAGCAAGCTTCATGTGGCTGCTCCAAAGATAATATCTTCCACTCAAGTTATAGAACTTCTGCGACTGACGAGTCTGAAAATTTCCATAAATAAGAAACAATGTTAATAAGAAACAATTGTACAAATTATAAATTTCCAATGAAAAAAAAAAGAAACAATCTGAGTGATGTTGCCTCTCCATCCCAGACATGTCTGGCAGTATGGTTAGCGTACCATGTCAGTAGGGACATATCTGAGAGACCCCCTGGGAAACTCTCAGGCTCATCATCGTCGTCACCAGCATCCTTCGGTGGTGGGTCATCACCCTCTGGAGGTGGCACCAGATCATCGACAGGAGAAGGACCAGGAGTTTCCCGACAAGGCCTACAGGAGGACGGGGCCTGTGATGAACCCTCAGTTGAATCCTGATGCCTCCGAGATGAAGAAGCGGATGATGAGGTGGGATACGAGGTCGAGGAAATGTCCTAGGCATGTGATGAAGAAAGATGCCTCAACTGTATCGGTCTTGATAATGGTGACTTGGCTCCGTCCGTGTCTCACAGATGCATGTTGTGAAACCCGTCCAAGTCGCAATCTATCTTCTATGTCTGCCACAATGTCATCAAGGTATAACCAAGAAAAAATAATTAGATACAAATAAATTAAAAAACAAAAAAGAAAAAATTAACATTTTTTTTACTTCTGGATGTGAACATACGGAAAACTTCCGTATATGTATCTACGGAAGAAGCCAGAATTCATAAAGTTTGATTTGTTCTGGAGTTGCATCTACGGGATTGCCCTAACGTTAATTTGTTCTATAGATGTAGCTCCGGAACTTCCTACAACTCCAACAACCACGACAACAGCGTCCCTTTCCCATGAAAATTAATTTTTTGAAGTCCTAATCGTCCGTTTCAGCCAACAAACAATACCTACATTGTCTCTAAACTATGTTTCTAAAACTATTTAATGATTTCTACCCCTAAAACTATATTCTATCTCGTTTATGGAAAATACTTAAAAATACTTCGGAAACTCAAAAACTTACCGATTATATCGAGCTTTGAATGATTTAGGGTGTCTTGATCATTGAGATGAATGTTCCTTGTCGAACTTGATTGAAAACAATTATGTTTGGTGGAAAAAAAATTTTGAGGATTGAAAGAATGTTTCTGATTTGTTTCGGAGCTATATAAACGGAAACATTTTATAGATGTAGCTCCGGAAAAAATCAATGTTGAGTAGAAAAAAGGTGCGTCCGGGTATTTTTTGAAAGCGCGCATGGTACGTAAGAATCCAAAGGAGCGGATAAGAAATTCTCTTATTTTAAAACAATGAATAAAGAGAGGTTGTAATTTCTAAACATCAATTTATTTAATCAATTTTACCCGTACCTTATTAAAAATAGGTAAAACAATTCTAATTCATTTTATTTAACTATTTAATTTTTCAATTAACGTTTTAACTAACTCATCCTTACAATATTGATTTAGTGTGAGGTGAGAGTTGTCATTCTCTATATAAACTTTGTATATGTTCTATGTCTAATCAATATGAGATTTAAAATCTCCAATAATTTTTATAACTCATTTCTTTCAAATATTCAAGGATTGAGAACTAAAGTTTTTATTGTGTGTCAAATAGTTCTTAAAGTTGTTTTAAATAAAGTGGTTAAACATGAAAAATTGTGCTCCGACAATAAAAACATTTTTATATCATATGTTTTTGATATTTTTGATTTCCTAACACTAGAAGCAATTGACTTTTTATAAACAATTCAAATGATTATGAATATAAATATTTTAGTTCATAGGTCAATGGATATAGTTTTTAAGAAAGTTGGTTTGGTCATTAAAAAAAGTGACGATGTAGCTTGTTATGTATTTACCTTTTATTTTTGTATAAATTTTATTATATACTAGTATGAATCAATTCAATGGTAAATTAACCTCGAGGAATATTTTTCTATTCACTTTGTCTTGAATAAAAAACATATTGTTCAAAGTCACGGTATGGAAAATTAACCCCTTTTATTTTACAATAATCACAATTGAAATGGTCTAGAGACCCCATATTTAAAATTTTTGAATCCTTGATTAGTTTTAGCAACATGCTTGACTTTTTAATATTAAGGGAATTGTTTCTGATACTAAAATTCACACAAATTTCTTCATGAATTTTATTGATCCTAATAGTTTCCTCAAAGTCCTTGTTTATCTCAATTCATTGAGTCAAACACTTAGTAACAAAAGAAGTTGGTGATCTTGTTATCTTTGATATCGTTGGAGTTAACCTCATTCTTGTAGATAATCTGAATCAATATTGATTTAACGAGAATAAATCTTAATAATTGATTGTTCCTCTTGTTACTCACTTATCACTTGAGTGATTTAACCACACTTTGGTTGCAAGATGATTCCATTGCACAATAATTTGAGAAGAAAATAAATCTATGAAAGTGAATTAAGGAAGAAAAGAGAAATTAGAGTTTTGGGAGAAATGGGGAAGAAGATGGATCCAATTCTGCAGAGTTTTCTTTCTACATTTATTCTCTCATTTTCAAAATCGAGTGTTCTTGGCACAACTTTTTGTTGAAACTTTTGCACATCAATTTCATTACATTCTCAAATAGTTTCAACTACATAAACTATTAAGCACTTGTACTACATATTAAGAATTGCCTACATGATAGAGAATATCAATTCTAGGAATTGATATACATTGTTATACAAATTCAAACACTTGTAAAAATTCAGATTATTGTAATTTCCTTGCTGTCAAGGATTGTTGGAAGCAAGAGAGAGAATAAGAGAGGATTGTTCTCTTATTGAACTTTGTAAAGATCATAGGGGATTATCCTTATTGATTGTGTTGCTTATGTTAGAAGATTGTAGAATAGATCTTGGTGGAAGACTTGTACAAAGATCTGACAT